TTTTTGTCGCGATTAGGCCCGGTAGGGACCGGTTAAGGCCCGGCCCGGGACCGAATTTTGGCCACCTCTAATCGGAACTATACAAATTGAACACAATATTGGTAGGAATCAAGGGGAACATATAATTGTTTGTAGTCAAATTGAGGCATTGATTGAACGCATACTTCATGAGGCAAAGGGTTGGGCAGTCGAGAGCTGTTGTTTCACCTTTGTTCGCTGTTGAGAGTCAACAGAGTAGTGATCTCTCGGGAGTCGGGACCCACTTAGTCAAAATGGCAGTTACAGACTAATGTACTTGAGCCTATTTTATCGATTGATAAATGGCATTCTTTTATGCGCTTTCTCGCTAACAAGCCAAGTAGTCCCTAACGGGCTATCCTTTATCAACTCGAAGTGCAACACGATCCTTTTCCTTTTCCGGTATGTAGCTTCGCGAGCAAGGAACACATCATTAGAGCAGGGCGAAAACAAATATAGGATCATGGCCCTTTTCTTCTTTCTTGTCATTCTATTGACAAAGAGAGGGGACCAAAGGAGAGAAGAGGTTTAGCCCTTTCCCTAGTGGTCGATCGAATAACTATGCCCATTGATCCTAACTGGTTTTCCACAAAATCTATTTCAATAGAGCGTATGATGTCGATGGCCCGAGGTAAAACACTCAATGGGCTAGGGTGGCCCCATTTCTCCCGAAAAAGGGAAAACCGTGGAGACAGCAGACTCGCTAGTCAGGCACACCGTGAGACTGACTACAACCAAGGTCCGGTGGTCTACCCTTGGCTTAGTTTAGTCAATGAATTGAAAACAAGCTTAAATGTACATTTGTCTTGTTTTTGTTACCATAAGAGTAGTAGGTTTTTGGATTAATTTGATACTAATATATATATATATATATATATATAATTTTTATGAAATGTTCAAATTTATATTTTATTCGAACGTAAAAATATTATCCTTTTTTTTAAACCATATAAAATTGTATTATAACATCACAAAAATAAAAAAATAAAGTAAACATTAATATTAAGATATATCTAATTATATTGCACCAATATAATAATAAAAATATAGAAGCACAAGGTTTGGCAACAAAACACAAACGAAACTGCAAGGGGGTAGAGGGATTCACATTCAAAACACACCCACGGAGAGAGAAGAAGAAGATGGAAGCACAAGGTGGGCAACAACAATGGATGATGAGCGCACAGCCACAGCCACAATTTGCTTACGCAGCACCGCCGCCTCCACCGCAACCCTACCACCAGCCTTCCTCTCACGAAGAAGTTCGTACCCTATGGATTGGCGATTTACCCTACTGGGCCGACGAATCCTACCTTCATTCCTGGTTCGCCGCCACTAACGAGGTCTTTACTTCTTACATCTCTCCAACACACAAAACCTTTGTCAATTCCTGCTTATGTTTACGTCTGTTATGGCATTTAGGGTTTCCCACAGGCATAGCTTCACAAAGGGCTACACGATACCGAAACTATTGAAGTTCCGAAACGTTAAATTTTGAGACCCCTCCATTGCAAAGAAGGTGCAACAACTTGATTTTGGGAATCGATGGGGCTACTGTTCGACTTTAATTTTGATTTTGATTCTAATTTTGTTTTAGAGAAGTCGATGATTGACCTCATAATTAGTATTGAAATTTGATAATTGTTGTTTGTGTCTTTGTAACAAAAACCAGATCAACTTGAATTCCGGAGGAATTAGGTTTTCATGTCAAATCTAGCTTTTCTGAGGGAGTATCGCCAATCCTAACATGTAGTTCCCACTGAGAATTGCACAGGTTGAAAACTTTTTTAATCCAAAATTTTGTAAGCTTGTTTCGAAAATAAGTTGCATCCTGAAAGGAATCTGTTCATTCATGACCAGTTTTACAGTATTCACCGATTACGACATCTATCATATGTTGTTATGTTTCACTTGCAGGTGCTTTCGATAAAAGTAATACGGAACAAGGCAACTGGCCTTCCAGAAGGTTATGGATTTGTGGAGTTTGCTTCACATGGTACAGCAGAAAGGGTTTTGCAATCGTACAATGGAACACAAATTCCAGGAACCGAATTAACTTTTAGGTTGAATTGGGCATCTTCTGGCATTGGAGAAAGACGACCTGATGCTGGGCCTGAGCATTCTATTTTTGTAGGTGATTTAGCACCTGATGTTACTGATCATTTATTGCAAGAAACCTTTCGGACTCAATATCCATCGGTTAGAGGAGCCAAGGTTGTGACTGATCCCAACACAGGACGCTCAAAGGGGTATGGGTTTGTTAAATTTGCGGACGAGATGGAAAAGAATCGGGCCATGACTGAGATGAACGGGATTTATTGCTCAACTAGACCCATGCGAATAAGTGCAGCTACGCCAAAGAAGACCACAGTCTTCCAACAGCAATATGTGGCACCGAAAGGTGGTATATTTTCTTCAAAACCTGCCAGAACTCTTGGATCATTGAGTCCTATGAATGTTGTAAAGGATCTGATAGAATATATGCTTCTTTATGTAATGGATTCCCACAGAAGGTTTTAAGTCCCTTTCCTTCATAGTTTGAATCCCTTATATCATACGTTACAATAAAATTGCATGAAAGAAAGAGAATGAACCAAAGGGCTACTGGCCTGTACGCTGTAACCCAACCTTCTTGACACCCAGCTGGCCACCTGTACCCTGCAACTCAACCTTCTTGGAGGTCAAGGTTTCAAACCTCACTGAAGATGAGGAGTGTGAATATTTTTCCATATATAAATATTATATACTTTAAAAAAAAAAGAGAATGAGGTGCCTAGGAAAGCATGAACCATATGTCTAGGAGTGTGAGTTTTGCCGTTATACTCTATATCTCCATGATGATTTCATGGATGATAGTTTTCCCAAAATTTGGGTTGGAGATGATGATTAGAGAGCAACAGTGTTGATACTTGTTTGTTTTGTGTGGCTTAATAAAGACTTTTTCTTGTTGTATCCTTTGGCAGGCTTATATACAGCTCCAGTGCCTACAATTCCTGTGGACAATGATATAACAAATACCACAGTAAGTCGTGGTTTTTTAATAATAGGCATTGTATCCATGCTTCTTATTTGCTATTTTTTCGTATTGCAGATTTATATCGGCAATCTTGACCCTGTTGTTACAGAGGAGGAACTGAGGCAGATCTTCTTGCAGTTTGGAGAAATAGTCTATGTCAAGATCCCTGCAGCCAAGGGATGTGGGTTTGTGCAGTTTACAGCTAGGTCTGTGTTTAATGTGATAAAAACTTCACAATTGTAGGGAACTGTTATAAGCTGATTGCTTTTCCACATCTCTCATATGCGTACTTATGGCTGTCTTTTTGCATTCAAGTGAAACTGTATCTTCATGATCTTTAGTAAGGTGGTCTGTCCATATTGCTGATTGTGTGCTATGCAGGACATCTGCTGAAGAAGCAATTCAAAGGATGCATGGAAGCCAGATTGGTCAACTTGTAGTCCACCTTTCTTGGGGCAAGAGCACAACTGCTAAACAGGTGAACTTTTGGCAGTTCTTTCCCTGATAATTGTATGATATGCAATATAAATAGCCCTTTTCAGCAAAAAGTAGTACAAGGTTTATCATGGTATACAAGCTTAGAATTTTATAGCTCAAGGTCAAGATGCAAGTTAACTGAAATTGTCGTCTATCATGATCTGCTTTCGAGCGTTTCTTTTACCACTAAAATGGTAACATAAGGCGGCTCAGAGTGCTAGATTTTTCAGATTGTAGCATTCTCTCTCTCTCTCTCTCTCTCTCTCTATATATATATATATATATATATGTACACACGTGTGTGTGTGTGCCTTGAACAATATCTGGACTTATACTGCAGGATCCATCTGGAGTCTGGAATCCACAGGCAGATCCAAATCAATGGGGCAGCGCATACTATGGTTATGGACAAGGTTACGATGCTTATGCTTATGGAGCAACTCAAGATCCGTCCTTGTATGCTTATGGTGCGTATGGTGGTTATATGCAGTATCCCCAACAGGCAAGATGTTTCCCTATTGTTATTTTTCATTGCATTTTTCTAATTGAATCTGAAAACCTGAATATAACTTATACATGAAGTGATCAGTATGGTGAATCCTTGGAACAAGCAACCAGTAATGTTACTCCTTTATATGGTTGTGTATGATATTTATTAGATCTGAGATCGAACTTGTGGTTGATTTTCAGGGTGAAGGTGGTCAGGATATGGGGGGAGTGACAGGTGTTGCACCACCATTGGAACAAAGGGAGGAAATATATGACCCCTTGGCCACACCAGATGTTGACAAGTGAGTTTTCCGTTTCTCATCTTTGTTATTATATCAAAAGGCATGGCGACATGCAAGCCCAAGCTACTACTAGGAACCATATGAATATGAATCCACACATATTTGCAAGTATTTAAACTTTGTGATGTGTGATATGTTGACAAAATGACTCTTGTTGAGGCGACGATATTAAGATGATGTGCAGTAAAGCTAGAAAAGTAATTGCACAATGAATGGTTTAAGATATTTTAGATCAAAATGACTTGAATGCTCTTAAGATGTCTGTGCATTCATTATGCGTAGCAAACTTGCAATAAATTTCCATGATGGAGTGCTTTTGGTATGTGGGACAGAACAAAATAAACTTCTTGAGACCGAGACTCAGATTTGAGTGGGACAAAATTGCAATTTTTTGCCCTACCAAAATAGGTCGAACAAAAATTAGGGAGATGTGGAAAAGATAGGTAAATTACCAAACTACCCATGTCAAATTAAAATCTTTTGCAATTCTTTCACCCTCCCACCTCGCTCTTGCCAGTCATGTCTTGTCGTATCAACACCAAGTATTATTAGAGACCAAGGGGCTGTTTGGTTGGTTTTCCATAAAATCCTGTATGGATAAAGTTGTCTATGGATTGGAAAGGTTTTTGTTTTAGAGGGCTCTTTCTATAGATGGAAGGAGCTTGCTATTTAATTGGAAGGGGGTGGTTTGGAAAAAACTTAGCTTACCAAAGCACTTTACCTTACTGGATGAACTTGACAAGGACCGAGAATCTTACGCGGTACGAGCGAAAGTCTTACCCGATAAGTGAGGGCGACAACTCTTACCACGGTTAGCGCTTACCGGATAAATTGTTGCATAAAATACAATTTTGGTGAAATAAAATTTTATCCGGTAAGCGATAATGTTGAATTTTACCGTTAAAGCGCTTACCCGGTTAAGCATTTGGTAAACGGCCTTATTGAATAAGCCACCTTCTAATATCATTAAACCACTATCAAATAATCATGTATAGCAAACTGAATAAGTGGTGAGTCCCATTAAGCTACTAACAAAGAGACACTAAGACCCTGATTGTATTTTCACTGCTTTTAACATCAAGTTCTAGTTTGATGTATGAGAATGATGGTTGCTTGTTATGTTGTAGGTTAAATTCTGCATATGTTGCTATACATGGAAGTGCAATCTTGGGGCGTCCATTGTGGCAGAAAACGTCGCCTTTCTCAATACATGCATAACTACCCGATACCCGACAGGGTAATGCTGAAGATCAAAGCATACCACACTAAACTAATATGATTCCGAACCATCCTTTCACAGAAGAAAAACGAAGCTTTTTGCTCATTTACAGAGTGCTTGGCAATTGTATCAAGCCGAGACTTCTATTGATGTATGTTGGTGGTTTGTTTGACGTGCTATTGATTTCGATAACGTGCAACTTGTATGCTACATTTCTAATTATCCTCATGAATGAAAATTGCAATCAGATCTTTACTTATCTCATTCATCAAGCTCAATCCAGCTACAACCAGCCATCTTTTTCAAGCCTAAACAACCAATTGTCTTTCGAATCTCAATCGACTCATCCCATCTACTCGAACCTGCATAACTATTTGACACCGAAGCCAAGGTTCCACCACTCGCACCTCTATCTACAACCGCCTGACCAACCCGCTTAAGTATAACTTCATTCCCATGAACCCTACAACCACTAACCAACGCACCCCAAACCGGGGCATCTGGTTCTACAACCATACCCCTAATGAAATCCTCTGCTTCTCTGAAGCGTCCGCCTCGTGCATATAAGTCCACGACACAACCATAATGCTGTTTGTGAGGTGTGATGCCATATGCATTAACCATGGCCTTGAACACCATCAACCCTTCATCAACTAGCCCAGCATGACTGCATGCGGTTAACAAACCGATAAACGTAACATCATCTGGTGCAACCCCGTTAACCAACATGAGACTGAAGAGTGGTAAAGCGTGATGGCCAAGGCCGTTCATCGCAACCCCACTAATCATGGTGCTCCAAGAGACTTTATCCTTTAATCTAAGTGTTTTGAAAACGCGAATTGCCTTACTGATGTTGCCGCATTTGACATACGAGTTAACCAAAGCGTTACCTATGTTTCCGTCGACTGGTATATCGTGTCTTCCATGAACATAAGAGTGCACCCACTCGCACAAACTCAACGACCCGAGTGAAGCACACGCGGCCAAGAGATTGACTATGGTGGCCACATTCGGGTTAACTTCTCCTCCTTTCACCATCTCGTTGAAAACATTAATTGCTGTTTCACAAAAACCCCATTCCACAAAACCACCCACCATTGTGCTCCAAGAAACCACATCTCTCTTAGGCATTTCATCGAACAGGCGTTGGGCATTCTCCAAATCCCCGACTTTTACATAAAAATGCAATAATGCATTATCAAATATTACATTTCCTTGATCGAAACTCTTCAATCCATAGCAATGAACAGATTTCCCAAGCTTCAACGATCTTACACTTGAACAAGCAGATAAAACACTAACAAGGGTATTAGCATTAGGATCTACATCCATCAAAGAAAACATAGCAACGGCATCATCAACAAACCCACATTTCGAAAACCCAGAAATGATCGAAGTCCATGAAACCACATTAGGATAAGCAATTGTACGAAAAACCCTATTAGCGTAAACGATATCGTTCCGAATAACATAGAAATGGACGAACGAATTCTGGATATAAGTATGAGCAAGATGACCGGATTTTACTACACGGGCATGGATTTCTCGACCTTTATTGAAGGAATTCGTCAAGCAACAGGCTTTGAGTGCATAATTGAAGCTAAAATGGTTGTGGGTATTTGGGTTTTGGAGCATTTGATTGTAGAGAACAAAAGCATGTTGTGGGGTGTGTGATTTCACGAATGAATCAAGAAGTTCATTGAGTTCATGTGGTCTTGAAGATTTAAGAACATGGGCTTTGATTTGGGCGACTTGCTTGGAAGAAAGAACATGAAGAAGTGGCTTTTTTGGCATGTTTGATGATTATATCACTACAAGTATTCACAAGATTTTGGAATGAATGTCTATACAATATTCTAAAGGATGATAAACGAATACAATTCTTGATGCATCAATTTTTAAAAATAAAATTTATTTTTATTTTTATATTTATATTTATACTTTAATTTTCAAACCATAAGTATTGGGTTGGGTTATTCAAATGTCTTCAATCCAATCAATCCAACCCATAAACACTCTTATTTATAACCATAGATTGAATTGGTATATCGTTATATTCGTGGCCCTCATCCAACAATAACATCATCGTTTTAATGATTTGTATGTTTTCATAAAACTTCATTTTTGTCTCTTGCCAAATTAGTTATAATCTATATTATATTAATAAACATGGATGATGATTAAATATATTCTTACGTTTCTTCTTTTACAAATTAAACCTTTATAATAAGTGGCGAACCCATAATTTTGGTCTAGCAAGGGCACTTTTAAGGTAGCTTAAACGCCTACAAAGTCGTCCGATGTGTTTTTAGCCTAATTCCACCATTCCAATATATTTTTGAAGTTTTTTGGATTATTTTGAGGGATTTTTTAAGGGTTTTTTTTATCGATTTTGAGGGACTTTTTCAATTTTTTGATTGATTTCGATACTTTCTTTAGTTGGTGGGGGCCCTAACGAGAAATTACTGAGGAGAACCATAATAGAAAGTAAAAACGATAACTTTTAACCTAGAAAAATTCATTTTCTTTATTTTTTCTTAATGGGGGCCCTTCCCCCCACTTTTTACATAGTAAGTCCGCCCCTACTTATAATCGTCTCATCAATATTTTCAAAATGGGCTCAAAATTAAATATTTTTGGACTTAATCATGTTATTAAATAGCATAAATATATAGTGAATTATTTTTAGAACTTACTTTTTGCATCTTATAGTTATTTGTTTAATTTGTTTTATATCCCTTATAAAATTTAGAGTTTATAATGAGCATAAACTTCCTACTCTTGATTTACAAAAAAAAAAAACTTGACATCCCGTGTATTGTGCGGGTACCCAAACTATTATGTGAAAAAACATGCTCCAAAATATAGGATTGAGTTCCTGTAAGAATAAAATTTATGATTAGAAGGTGAGAAGAAACCTTCATATATACTTTCATCTACATTTGACTACCTTTATTTACTTTTTTGTTGTCATCATGACAGAAAGTTTAACAAATTCATGTGTGTATAAGTGATTAAAAATATGTAAAAGTTCGTGAAAATGATTTAAAAATGAAGATAAATTTGAAAATAAAGGTAGATGAATGTAGTTGAAGATACTGAAAGTAATTGAAAAAAATTAAGTTAGATTAAAAACTAAACTCATCCAAAGGCTCAGATGTGTTCTCACTATTTTCACCATAACTCTTATTCTCACATGATCCCTCATCTATATAATGATTAAATATATCAAAATGTAATGAAGTTTTTTTTTGTTTATATTTAATATAACCAGTGTTCAAAAAGGCGCGATATGGTACAAGACGCGTCTCCGCTTTTATGAAATAACTCATGACGTTTCTTTTTAAGGCGTGGCTCACGCCATGACGTCTTGAGGTGCGTTGTGGTGCTCGTTTTTTGTAACACGTGATTTTTTTCCAAATTTTATTTATTTATTTTTTATCTTTTGTGTTTTTACACTTTTAACTTTAGATTTACATTTTTATAGATCTAATTAATCATATTACTCACAGTTTCACAAAATTCTTAAACGTTACAGACTCATGGTTAAAATAAAATTGTGAAATTATCTTTGTAAGTTCTGTTTTAAATATTAAATCAAAAACCTATTTTTATAATAATAATCTATATGATTTTTCTTCTTCTAATATGAATGTACGATTTTTAAATATTATTATCTGATTAGATAATATACATAAAACATATATCTATATATATAATTCTATATATGACATAAATTTCCCGCCTTGAAAAATGTCTCGCCCTCGTCATGGCATGTAAGGCTTGAGGCTTGACTTCGCCGCTAACCCACGCCTCGCCTCACGCCTTTTTGAACTTTAAATATAACAAACATTTAATTCTTTTTTATACCACTTAACATGATAAATGATGTTTTCAACCTATGTAACATCAGTTGTATTCGTTACAACATTGTTTATCACGTAATCAAGAATTACAATATAACTTCACATATAATCAGTAATTACAAGATTTGCTGGTTACCAGTTAAAGTTGAATGTAAAACAGGGAAAACAAAGTTTTAATGTTTGTTACATTAATTAAAGGGGAAAAGCATCATTTTCGAAATAAGAACTAAAGCAAATGTGATTTTACATTGAAATAATCTGTGATTACGAAACATGGTTTATGCAAGCACTTGCAAAATAAGAGTCATCACCTTCACTTACCTTATTACCTAATATTATTGTCTATGAAAATGGATTGTTGGTAAGCGTCTCTTATTCGATAAGTATTTTCACCCTCACTTACCAAGTAAGATTTCAATCCTTACTATGCCTCTTATCAATAAGATTTCCAGTCTTTATCATGTGCACACACAATAAGCGATTGATAAACAGTCCCTTAATTCATGTAAAGTTTTACATGAATCTTATAAACCAGTCAAAATAAGAATATCAGATTTATCAGAATTTTATAAAAATAATAGAAAAATGTCGAATGCAATCATGAACGGGATAAGAAAGAAACAAGTGTTGCATGTTATGTGGTGTATATGACACTCTTTTTTCAAATAATAAGACAAAAAGAGTAAGGTTGAATTAAATTCTTGGGCATCCATCGTTTATTGTAATTTGCAAATCTTGTTTGCAAGCAAAACGAAGTCTTTCACAACCTTTGATGCGAGCGAAAGGCTTTTTGGCCGATTTAGGGGCTATTCAAAGCCCTCATCCGATGCAACTATTATTTCACGATGGCGATTGGTTATTTAACAATATTAGTATAATGCACACGGATATAATAAAATAAAACTAAACGTGACAGATAAAAATAGGGATATGGCATAAAACCCCCGCATTCGATAAGAACCTGATACCTGATCCCGGTTTGACCGGGAAATCCCCGAATTTATATATCGGGGATGGGGATACCTTTCATCCTCAGCCATGAACCTGACCCCAAGTATTAATACTATATATATACACACACACACACATACACACATTAGGCGAAAGATTGTGTGAGAAAAATCATAAGAATGAGTTAGACCCTTGATCATCTTTAATTTCAAACTCACTCATGAATCGTGTTTGATACAGGGATTGATCAGGTGCATTTCGGAGCATCTCATCCTAATATGTATTTTAGGGTGCAGTTCCATTCTTGCGCTTCTCACCTTAGTTTTCCTTTTCGCTTTAACCCAACTCATATACACTAAGTATAATAATATAGTAATAAACTCAAAGAGTATAGATAAGACGAATAATCATGTGAGAATAAGAGTTAAGATGAAAAACGTAAGAAATGATTTCGACCCCTGATCACCTTTAATTTCAAACCTACCATGAATCACACTTGATGTGGGGATTTGATCTGATGCATCTCGGTGCATCTCATCCTAATATGCATCCAAGGGTGGAGATCCCTTTTTACGCTTCTTACCTTAATTTTTCTTTTCACTGGAACTCAACCCTTATAAAGAACTTATAAATATAATCAATCTTCCCTGATGAAAACATGTAAAAATTTACATTATTTATTTGGTTAGTTACGAATTTTTTTGCTGATATAACGACGTGATTATATAAAATTTCAATTATTAAGTATTGTAATTAATATATTTGTGTTTGAACTAAGTTTTTTACGTTACCCTTATATAAATGCAACAATTCAAATTTGGGTAATTAATACTTTAGCATTATATGTCGTTTAAACATAAAATTGACATTTATATACATAATATATAAAAACATTACGTAAAAAAATTAAAATTGTATAGACGGGGAAAAATCTCTGGTTCTCCGACAGGGATCCCCGTTCCACCAATGGGATGAGAATACATTTTTATTACCCTGATAGGGATTGCGATCCCTCGACCCTGTTGCCATCTCTAGGTGAAAATTACCAAACTAACCTTGTACTATATACCATACACTCTAATAAAACAAAGGGAAATTACCAAAGTATACATAACTATTTAAAGGTTAAATCTATTAATTTTCGTCAAAAATTGTATAAATATGTTATTTATTTGGATTTTTTTAATAAATAAAATTGTAAATGAAACCACATAGAAAGGAAGCACGTGCATTTCAGTGGTCAGGACTCACTGAACCAGCTTCTGACTCCCAATCCCCTTCCTCAACCTTTTCTCCATCTACTTACCATCCAATAACTTTTCTCCACGTGTCGTATCGCAATCGCCTGTCGATCCCGGCTCATGTTAGCTTCAATCACAGCGACGGAAATCGCAAAATGATTCAACGGACAAAACGACGCCAACTTATGATGGATTCTGAGACGTTGGATTAAAATCAAGTCTTTATTTTAGCTTCGATTTCTCCGCTGCCCACCACACAGAATCACATCCCGGATTCCGCCGTCAAACGCCATCGTTTACTTCTAACGATGGCGTCGGTAGCTCTCACAGCCTCCGTCAACCTAGCGTTCCGGTCACTCCCCATCTCCAACCCACGTCTGTCTTCCAAACAATCTCCGCCGTTAAATCTCCACAGATCGAACGCTCTACGCCACCTCCGGTCGTCTTCTTCATACACTCATACTCTCGCATCTCGCTTGCCATTACTCAAGCTCAAATCACCGAATAGGAACCTCAATTTCACTATAAAAGCATCCGCAGCTGCAGCTCCGGCTCCGGCTCCGGCTCAACAGGATCCTGCTCCGGCGCCGGTGCCATGGCAAGGAGCGGCGATGAAGCCTCTGCTTGCTTCAATCGCTACCGGTGTTATCCTCTGGTTCGTTCCTGTACCAGAAGGAGTTTCTAGAAACGCCTGGCAATTGCTTTCGATATTTCTGGCAACCATCGTCGGAATCATCACACAGCCTCTCCCACTCGGAGCTGTCGCGTTAATGGGACTAGGTGCGTGTGTTCTCACCAAGACACTAACATTTGCAGCTGCATTTTCGGCTTTTGGCGATCCGATCCCTTGGTTAATTGCTCTTGCCTTCTTCTTCGCCAGAGGATTTATTAAAACGGGATTAGGAAACAGAATCGCTTACCAATTTGTGGCCTTATTTGGTAGCTCATCGTTAGGGCTTGGATATAGTTTGGTTTTCAGTGAGGCTTTGTTAGCACCAGCCATTCCTTCGGTTTCCGCAAGAGCCGGCGGAATTTTCTTGCCCTTGGTCAAATCTCTATGCGTTGCTTGTGGTAGTAATGTAGGTGATGGAACTGAACATAAGTTAGGGTCGTGGTTGATGTTAACCTGTTTTCAGACGTCGGTTATTAGCTCATCTATGTTCTTGACAGCTATGGCTGCCAATCCCTTGAGTGCTAATTTGACGTTTAATACCATACAGCAGACGATTGGGTGGACCGATTGGGCTAGGGCTGCAATCGTGCCTGGAATTATTTCGTTGATTGTAGTTCCACTTGTTTTGTATATAATTTATCCCCCATCGGTGAAGAGTAGCCCTGATGCGCCTAAGCTTGCGAAAGAGAGATTGGAGAAAATGGGGCCTATGACAAAGAACGAAATCATCATGGCAGGAACTCTGCTTCTTACGGTATGGTGATTCATAACCCATTTATAGTTAAAATACTTCATTTCACATATAGTTCTTGTTATATTGCTAAATCTCTAGCTTTTATGGTATGGTAGAACACATAGTTTACAGAATTGATTCCCACTTTTCACCAGGGATTTTGTATTGTTTAATCTTAGAACTGGATACATAAATGTGAATGTTAGCTCATAACATATAAGATGATTTGTTCATGTTGTGGTTCAACGAACACTGGTGCAATTTCTCATTGTTTAGCATCTTTTGAGGTGGGTTCTATGTGGTATGATAATGGTCTTAAAAGTTGAAATTGGAAAACAGAACATAATAAGTAGCTGATTTTACCGATTACCTGCAGATCAAAATCAAATTGTTCTTGCTTGAAGCTTCGACGTATAACTGTCATACATCATAGAGTAAACTACATAGTTTGAGCTTCAACAGGGATAGATTTTTTGAGGTTTTTTGCCTTAACTTGATATTGCTTATCACAGAAGAAAGTGTCTCAAGAAATATGTTTCTTGAAAATATGTCCAATAATCTACTTTCAAGTTAGGATATGCAAAAGATGAGATTTTTTTTTTTGCATTTCTGGTGGCCCTTCTGAATCAATTATCTTGGAAAGAGACCCAACGCTAATAGTCCAATTCATCTGACCTATCCATTCATCAAGTTTTGCTACAAAAAGTCTGTCACCTGCTTGAAACCAATAGTTATCCGAAATCCTACTTTTGAACAAAATGAGTAAATAACTGTATTACTGATAATAAATCTTTGACCTTCTGATTTGATCCTGGAATCAGGTTGGCTTGTGGATATTTGGAGGGATGCTGAATATTGATGCCGTAACAGCTGCTATTCTCGGACTGTCTGTTCTTCTTATTACTGGAGTCGTAACATGGAAGGAATGCTTAGGTGAATCTGTCGCGTGGGATACCCTTACATGGTTTGCTGCACTCATTGCAATGGCTGGCTACCTTAACAAATATGGTCTCATCTCGTGGTTTAGTCAAACTGTTGTCAAGGTCTGCTCCTTCATTTCTTATTGTTTTCATCATGTGTTCGTACCATCAAACCTATAAATACTTAGGAATCCCCTCTCTAAAAGGGCTTATTATCCTCCATATATCTTTCCTTAAAGGCTCTTTTGGAGAGTAATCAAATGGGATTCCACATATCTGTGCTCGTCTAGCTTCTGTTGGATGGGGCGTGTTGGAGTCCCATGTCGGTTAACATATATAACCAAAATACGAATGTGTTTGAATTATAATGAACTTTGGGTTTTTCGTGCAGTTTGTTGGCGGATTAGGTCTTCAATGGCAAGCATCTTTCGGCATTCTTGTTCTTCTGTACTTCTATTCCCACTACTTTTTCGCAAGCGGCGCTGCTCACATTGGTGCCATGTTTACCGCCTTCTTGTCGGTTGCCAGTGCCCTTGGCACACCACCTCTATTGGGAGCCATGGTGCTTGCATTCCTCTCCAACCTCATGGGTGGTCTAACCCACTATGGAATTGGGTCAGCCCCTGTGTTCTATGGAGCAAACTATGTCCCTCTGGCTAAATGGTGGGGCTATGGGTTCATCATCTCTGTGGTCAATATTATCATCTGGCTTGGAGTTGGAGGAGTCTGGTGGAAGTTCATTGGCTTGTGGTAGACCAATTTGCTACAAAATTCAGAAAATTTCTGACTTCTAGTGTGGTGTTTAACCAAATCCTTTGCATCTGGTTTCAAGATTTTTTTTGCAAGGGTTCTTGCAAATAATTTTTGTATTTGTTGGAAGGTTGTGTAGGTTAAGATGGCATGGTATACAGGTCATGAGGCCAATTTATATTTGAAGTTGGAATTTGTATTAAACTTTTCTATAGAGTGAATTACATTTTTAGTCCCTGTAGTTTCGTGTTCTCAACGGATTCTATCTTTATTTTTAAAAACTAACGTAATGTGCCTATGTGGTTTCATTTTTTAACAAGCTAGGTCCCTGTGGTTGCTTTTTTTCTAACGAGTGAAGCCTTTGTGGTTGTAGTTTCTTAACGAGCAAGGTCCTTAAATAAATAAATTAGCGAGTCGGGTACTTATGGTAGCATTAAGGACCTAGCTTATTAGAAAATACAACCACATGGACTTAGCTCATTAATTACTTAAATTAGGGACGAGCATATGTTAAAAACATCAATCCATAGGGACATAGATGTTCTTAATGGTTCTCGTCCATTTTTTGATAGTTTAACGAATCATATCCTTGTGGTTGCGAGTCGTTGCATTTTTTAATGAATTGGGTCCTTGTGGTTGCAGTTTGTTACTGAGTTTGGCTCTTGAATAAATCAACGACTTGGATCTCCGTGGTTGCATCAAGGAACTAGCTCGTTGTACAAATGCAACCAGGGAAACGATCTGTTGAATTTTCAAAAAAAGGACAAGGACCGTTAAAAACATATAACCACAAAGACGAAACATGTGAGTTACTCTTTTTGTATTTATGCTTCTTTTTAAATGGTTTTACATAAATTTTGCTACTACAAATGCTATAATTGCACATCCACACAAATCTATATCGTACCGTCTTCATAGCATGAATCAGTTACTGTTTTTTTGTCCTCAATACACGTTGAAACAGTTCTTCTATCTAAAAATAGCATTTTGGAAAGTAATCTGAAATGGCTCCAACCATCTATACCTACATTGTACCCTTGAGAAAGCACCATGGTCCGGTTCTTGTCCCTATTCTGCAAAAACAAGAGAAAAATACTTCAAGATGCTCGTAGAATACAAAAAAAGACGTGTGATAACAAGAGAGTGACGTTCTCTATATATATCTCGTGTAGACCTTGTCTTTTGGATTAACATTATTCATGACGAGAAAAAAAAAATACCTCCAAAACCCTGCAAATGCTCTCATGCTCATATAAAGAGTAAGAGCAACCCAGAGCCCAACGAATCCATGGCTACATGCCACAAACAACGCCAGAACACTAATTATAGCAACCAAAACCTGTGATCCAAAATTTAAAAAGCAGATAGCCAAAATCAATATCATCAGTCTTATTTGTCTTTATTCATTTTGCAGCTCCCATCTCAATACTGGGACCCATAAACCGAAAATGGATAGAAAAGGCCAAGAAACACAATGAGCATACCATAGAATACGCGGCATACGCAAAATCAGATGCTCCAAAGTTAACACCATCGAAAACAAATGCTAACGCATTGATTGGTTGAGTTGCCGCAACAAACTGATACACCAAAAAAGGAATTGCATCGTTAGCTGGCTTCCGAGAGTAGCAAAAGATGGTTTTTATTGAGACAAGAATACCGGGATGCCAATGCTAATGAGATGGAGCACACCGGTGTCTTTGGTAAACAATCTTGCTCCAAGTTGTAACCCGACCCCTAAAAGAATAGCCAACGCAACCCCGAGAAGCAGACCTAACTGCATTACCAATTTGTATCGTCATATATTTTAAGTAAAACGCATAAAAATATCGAAAGTTTGTCATTTGCAACGACGTAAAACCTCATTAATTCCACATATCTGTCACTAAATAGGTTAACGAATCCAAAAAAATCATTTACAATAATTTCTTTGACAAAAATTTATATCAATAAGATTAATAATTTATATCAATAAGATTAATAATTAACAGGCATTAATAAAACATGGTTAAAATGGTAAACTAGTAATAAGTTATTTTTCATAAGTCAAGAAGGATTAACTTATCAAAAACTGCTTATCACCGGTTTTGCACCGGTATAAGCAGTTTTATTTTTCATCATCTAAACACTAGCATTTAGCCGGTGCCAAACTGAAGTAAGTCAAAAAAACACCTAAAATAAGCAATCTCAAACACCCCCTATCTATGGCTAATGTCATTTTTCTTGTAGCGTGTACCTGCAACACCCTCGAAGCAGTTGCAGTGACCTTCTCGTAGTCCATTTTCGCAAACGCACTTGCAAGTATAGCCTTCAGAGATTTAAGCATCACAAATCATATAAAACGTTGAGCTTAAAATGGCAAGACGGTTAATTGCAAACCTGTCCAGCAACGGCCAGACCATCGGCTAAAAGTGAAGTTGCGAGCCAAACTTGCAAGCAAACTTGAAATGCAGCCATCGTGGTCGACCCTTGTCTCGCCGCCATCGATGCGGCCAGTGTTACACAGAACGTTACAGCCATAACCCTCATTAACAACAGAAAACCTGTTGAGAAAATAAATGAAAAATATTTGATTTAAAACATATAAACCGATCTACGAAGATTGGTTCTAAGCCTCACCGTTCTTGAGAAATCGACCGAATTGAAGATGCTTAGAATTAGGTGCTACGAGATCGATCTTTTCTATTAATCTCCAAAAAAGTATTGCTGAAATCAGGTACCTAGTACACAAGTGTCGGATAAACTTCTTAAAGAAATAAGAACAATCGAGCGGTTTGACATCAAATGCCTAGACCGGTCAAACCATACCATGAAAAGACGGTCTGGTCTGACCGGTTTAGACGGTTTGGGCCTTTAATGGACTTTAAATATTAAACTTAAAAAACATATATAATTAATAATTTTAGATTAAATATCCATTTTGACTATGTTAGATGTTAGGTTTTATGTTATGCTCAGTGATATATTTGAGTCATATATATATATATATATATATATATATATATTTGGCGGTCGGTTTGGTCCAAACCGCCGAAAAAAAGTTTCAGACCGGACCGGACCTCCCGGTTTTACTATTTTCCAAACCGCTCAAACCATTAAAAATGGTCCGGTTTGACTTGGTTCGGCCGGTTTAAGCGGTTTAACAGTTTTTTTGAACACCCCTAAAAAATTGATTCTGATTCTACTTTTATGTTTTTTAGGACGAAAATAATTAAGGAATGCAGTAACGAGTTGTTGTAACAAGACTTATTTATACAGTGAATACAAAATTTACGATCTTTATCAATTTAATATCTTTAAATCGGCTTATTTGATTATAAAATTAAACCCTGGACATATGGCACGATCTAGAAGCTTACAGAAGACTTTAGAATCTTCTAGAGTTCGTTAAAACCTAATTGAAATATGTAACATCCTTCTTTAGACTTGTATCGAGAGCTACCGTACGAGTTACGCATCACTTCTTTAAAGTCATAAAAGAATCACAATTTTGAAGTCGACTTACTGCGATATAACATGAGCAATTGCCGCACCACTAACCCCGAAACCAAAAACAAACATAAAAATTGGGTCCAAAATGATATTCGTCACATCTCCTGCCACTTAAAATTTGATTCAAAAACGAAACTTGAATTAGTTAGAAAATAAGTGAATTACACGTCTGATAAAGGGTAATAGCGTCTTTTCACTTACCCGTGGCATACAGAGGGGTTTTCGTGTCTTTAAATCCACGAAACACACCTTGCATTGCCAAAGAAAGTAGAACGGCGGGTGCACCAAGTGACCTTAACTTCAAGTATTGTTGTGCAGGGTACAACATAGGAGAGTCCTGTATATGCAACAATAAGTTATACACGTAACGTATACGAAAAGAATATTACTTCGGGATTGGTATAAGCAAAAATTTTGGATTTTTTTTTACGTACAGATTTGATCCCCATAAAACCCAACACGGGTTTTGCTCCGATTATTAGAAATGCCGCTTGCAAAAACCCTAAAATGCCCCCAATGACTAAAGCAGACGAGGCAGATGGAATCCTCTTCTTCTCGTGGTTGGCAACAAGTGACTTTGTGTCAAGTGACTCGATCTCTACATGTACGAAAACACGATGCCATGAGATCAAGAATTCGATAGTAGCGAAATATCGAAAGGCAATAAAAAATGAGCTTTCATAAACATAACATACTACTTATAATTTTGTGTTGCAACAACTTTTTATTTTCGCTGTGTGTATCGATCCCCTGCATTTCCATACAGTCTGAGGTGGCATCTTCCTCTGCCACGAAAGAGGTCGTAACACTTACAAGAGGAAATATTGCGATTCTTGATACTTGGTTGAACACGGCTATCGAAACTCCAACGGCAGCTAGTTCAACCGCACCTAAAAAAATTATCACTCGAGTTAACAAAATCTTTAAACTTTTTATTATAAATTAACTATTACATTAATTAAAATACATCTATAATGTTCAACGTCTTTAATCTAGTATCACATCAAGAACACATTTATCACATGTGATAATACACGTGAAAGGGCCTAAAGGCGTATAGTCGATTTGACCTGCAACCTAGGTCGTGTGAAAGGTTATCCGCGTCTCTGATTTAGAACATGTATGTATCATATGTGATGGAATATAGCATCACATGTGATTGATTTTAGCAAATCGATGCTCTCGTATTATCGTAAAATGAAAATGTTCATATTTGAACCATTCCTTATATATATCTATACTATATTATAAAGCATTTGACAAAAACTCTTAAAAACCATTTTTTTATGCATAAAGTACTGTTTATTAATGCATGTTACTTAAAACTCAAGATTACAAGTAGATTGTGCGTTTTTTGTACAACTTATTAAAGTTCCATATCTGAATTCATGTAACTAACTGCAGATAAACATAATCAAATATAGAATAAACATCTCATTTTAAATATAAAAAATCTAAAATATAATTAGAATAATCATTGAGTT